AAAGATACACTGACCGTTACTCTAGAACAGTAAGTTCTGTCTTCTGACAAATTCAGTTCGATAACTTTTGGTCACAAAAGGATTTGTGACATTTTTCTTTGTTCTCCTAGTAACCAAATATAACTTCAAAATAGACAATTACAGTTTGATACAGGGACAAAAATGCTGATGTCAAAAGTAAAGAAGAATATAAAAAAATAATCGTAATCATAAACTTAAAGTGCCTGTGACATGCCTATCCATCAAATACAAAAAGTCAAAGAAAACACATGTTTATATAAGAAACCTTGCATAAAATGTGATTTTACCCATTTTGCCACATAAATGGCATATTTTCTTTTGAACTCTGCTCAGCCAAATTGCAACAGGAAGTGACATCAAAGGGGAACTCTTTAAGAAAGAGAACTCTGTAATCTTTGTTTATTGGAACAATATTATTTGAACTCTGACTTCATCTCTCTGATAGTGACACAAAATAATCAAAAGAAACATCAGATTCTTCTCTACAGTCTGTGTCGTTAGCTGTTGTTCCATGCAGGCATTCCCCTTWGACATCACTTCCTGTTCCTTCACATGCAAATATCTCAACAACTGTTCATCTCAGCAGCGGGAAATTATTTTTGCAATATGCTAATTATCTTTCCAATAAGGCCTTTATATTTATTTCAAATATTTCATGTCACAGGCACTTTAAAATTGATAATCGAATTGGGGCTTGAGTGAACCGTTACATCCCTAATCGCTTGTGCTAGATTTTGAATTCAAGCCGTGAACTGTACGTTGTTACCTTCCTTACATCAGGAGAATGTTATTTACCTGGTCCCAGTCTTTCATGGATCCCACCTTCTTCTCCAGGAATTCAGCCATTCCGACTCCCATACGGTGGCAGATATCCGAGATGACGTCTCTGTATTCCTGAGCGAGGTTTCTGAATTCCAGTGAGATCTGGGATTCAGAGCATGAATGATAGCATTAGGACGAGTTAAGTACGTGTTTGGAACCCCCTCTGTGAGATTACGGACCGTGGGGAAATCCTCAAGAACCTGCCGATCCTTCTCCTGGCTCTCGGTGAAGCACCACTCCTGCTGGTACAGGTAGGTGTGGAAGTTGTTCAGCATGGGCACCTTCTTGTCCAGAGGGATCGTCATGTCGTCCTCCACCGTGTCCAGCGCGCGCAGCACCAGGTAGAAGATGCAAACGGCGTGTCTGGATCAYGGATGATAGAATGAAAGCAGTGAGACGACTGCAGAGTTGGAAAACAAAAATAAGACTGAAAGGGCAGACGTGTCGACCAGATGGATGGNTGGCAATGATCTGCTTGAATGCAGACAACCCCCCTTTGACATCACTTCCTGTTACTTCACATGCAAATATCTCAACAACTGTTCATCTCAGTGGTGTAATGTTTTCTTTGCAATATATTATCAACAATACCTTTCCATAAATGCATTCTTACTTTTCACAAAAACGTGCTGTCACGTGCACTTTAATGTCTACATGCATGGCTTTATTAAACAGGGCTGATGCCATAATGTTATTATCAGTGGCGTAAGTGTATTTGCTCTTGGTCAAGGTCTTGATATGCAAATGGATCAAATTTTAAAAAGATGAAACGCAAAATCAAGAACTTGTTATTTTGAATTTATCAATGTTGTTCCAATTATTTGAAATAGTTCTTTATAATCAATAAAATGTTTAAGCATTTAATATATCTTTTACGGACAAATTACATGCAACCAAAAACAAAAACTATAAGCGGTTTTCCCAACAACAGTGTTGCAGTTAGTTTCAGCTTTACTCCGTTTATGATAACAGTGGAGGTTTTACTGGTTTTAATAGGAGACAAAGACAAGCAATTGAATAATGTAGGGATGTTGACATTTCGTCGGCAGCTGCTGCCATTTTCTTCCCAAACTGCTGTGACCAGATTTTGCAAGGC